CAGTGCAATTACTGATTATAATGCATCACAAGAGTGAGCTGCAACGTCGCTGCTCAGACCGAAAACATGACCTCCCTATGTGTGTATCTTTTCTCAGCCAATGGAGCCAGCCTATACCTCCTGTATGTGAAATATCCAAATAATATGGAACAGCAAAAATCTTCATATATGTAGTGCCGGCGTCGATGGCATCAGTGTGAGAGAATTTACTGACGGCTGCATTTGACCTGCAGTTGTGGTCTTTCTGACCTGCATTTGACCTGCTTCAAGTGGGTTTTGCTTTCCTGTAGACTTGTACTTGAAGCAAACAAAAGCTTGTCGACACTGGCCCTAAAGTGCATTCTTCAAGAAATTGTACTGCCTGAAAAAAACACTTCAGATTTTCCTTTTAAATAAAAAATGAGGCCTTACTATAATTGTATTGGATTCAATGCATTTTAAGATGTACAGAAGTTCATACACTTGATCCAATCTTTATTTGGCTGTGCTTGTGGCCTTATTTGAAAGATCTAGGTAAGTGATACCAAGGCTGAACGTGTGAAGGGTGTGTGTGACAGCAGGAGCAGTCCTATAGTAACTACGTACACCATCAGATGACTCGCATTTTCCATCTCCGATTTTTAATCACAACTGAAATCAGATCTTGGCTTGGCTACGAGCATTTTTCTATTGATATTTTTGTTATGGGCAGATGCCGGTAAGCTGAAGCGGCACCTGTTTCTTGTATCTTTAGAGAACTTTGGCAATAAGACCACCTCACATTCCCTCTACTACTCCTCCTGCAGCATAAATCATACTAAATTAAAATGTAAGCACCTCTTTGTTGTTGATGTCATGGGTAAGCCAACCTGCAAACCTAAAATCACGTTTAGTTTACCAATTTGTATTGAGATTGTAGTCCAGATTAGGAGCGAGCTTGGAGCGGTGGCTACTTTACAACACACACAGGGACCATGGAGAACAAAAGTAGCCAATTCAGAGATGATTTGAGAATCTCCAGCCGAGTGATACGCATACAAGATACATTTTTCTTAAGGGCCCGTTCACACCAGTTGCAGTGCGTTCCGGCCCGATTCTGGCCAGAACGCACCGCCTCGCATTCTGGCCGTCTCACTTTTTAGGGTAGGAGGGGGAGTGGCGGGCCATTGTGGCGAATGGCACCGTAGCCACGCCCTCCAGCTGCAATGCGATCGGCCGCACGGGATCGCAAGGCACATTATTATGCCTGCGGTTCGGTGCGATCAAAATAGTGCGTGCAGCCGGAGGGCCCCCTCCTGCCCCACAAAAAAAGTGAGCCGGCCGCAATGCGTGGCAGTGCGTTCTGGCCAGAATCGGACCGGAATGCACTGCATCTGGTGTGATTGGGCCCTAATAGTTCCTAATAAAGTACCTGAATGCATTTTTAAGATTTAACGCCTGAGTTTAGTGTCACTTTCAAATTATGCTATGTCCATGAGAACATGTAATTAATTTAAACAAATGTGTTCTCCCAATTCGGCCGCAAAAGTGGAAACACACTTTAAGCCTTACACAAGACATAAATCGAATCTAAGTCTTAAATGACCCATGATGCCTAATGATTGGTCTCCAATGTGCATATCTCAGGGGAGACGCAACACCCTAATGCAAATTACGTCATTACACTGATGCATACCAGCACTGAAAGAAAGCATTCTATACTCTGTTGGTGTAGAACAGCCTATAATAGAGAAAATAAAATGGTTTAGATGCACTATTAGCAAGCTGCTAGTGCTCAACGTTCAGCCCTTCCACGGAGTGCAGGAATCTGCCCTCTCAGCAAACAGCCACTATTACGTGAAGCCTCCTGACAACAATCCTGCCAGCCAAATTCCCACACAGACTACCGCTCACAAGAGCAGACTGTTTTGAAACTGAAGTCAGAGCTGTGAATAACAACCAGCACTACAAACATAACTTGTCCCGCTCCCTCCCTGCAGCAATAACAACTGGCACACATAGCACCCAACCCCCTACAGAGGTGGCATGTGGCCCAGTAGGAATGCAGCCTGAGATGGGCCGCACTATACACACTGCTATTTGGGGAATTCACCATTTCAATACAACAAACCAACTGGGCTATGTTCAATCTTCTTTACGGGATTGTTTTACACTCTGGGAGGATACTAAAATAGGACGGCATTTATAATGTCTGCAAATTCAGGAGAACTTGCAGACATTATACTTCAGGAACTTCAGGAGAACTATGGGGTTAAGTCTTTTCCCCATAGTTCTCCTTAGGTAACGGGAGGACACAAACTAGCGTGTATTGGATGGCGATTTGTCAATAAAGGACTTTATTCATCTGTGGCCCTCCTTACCATCTTGTCTTGAATTGTATGGCGATTGTAATGTCTTCCTTATATTGTAAAGCGCTGCGCAAACTGTTGGCGCTATATAAATACTGTATAATAATAATGATAATAATCTGTGTAAAACAGAACAACGCCAGGGATTTGCCCTCTGCACATCAACCCAGAAATGCTAAAAAAAAATACAAAGAATTACAAAAAAAAGGTATTTCCCCAAGTACTGGGGAAGGGAAACGCTGCTATTCCTACATGTGGAAAAAGATTGCATTTCCAAAAAACTAACCCACTTAAAACTTGGCCGTACACGGCTCAGAATTTGGCCCATTCCTCTTAAAATGTCCAAACATTCAATTAGTGGGTGGCCCCGTCGACTGAGCCACGTGGAAAATTGTCAGCTGACCAGTGACTGCATCACCAATCAGATGCGGTGATTGTTCGGGTACTCAGCAACAGGTGATGCCGCTTGTCTGAATACAATAGCCGTCAGGGGAGATACCTTCATCTATCTATGTTGTTTAGTGTGAATAGGGGAATTGTGTGACTTCTCTCGTTCAGCTCACTGGACTGAACATGAGAAATCTAGGCATGCATGGCTAACTTTAGGCTTTGCTTATAAAAGGAATAGTAACTGGTTTCCTTCACTGCAGGCACCACAAAAAGCATGCACGCTCTGACTTAAAAGTCCAACTCCAGTGAAGCAGCTTTTCCTGTCCCCTAGGTATAAACAGGCAGTTAACCCTTGCAGTACATTGCAGCCCCCCTGGAAAGGAAAACTTTTAATTTCCCTGGAGTTGAGCTTTACGGCAGCATGTTAACTTTGTATGGGTCCTGAACGCACCTAAAAACTGCACATTGCTATTAATGGCAATGCAGCGCACAGAACATTCACAGCTCGTCTTGTGGTTGGCCACATATACTACAGTGTGTTGCCCTGCATTGCCGGAACCTGCCTTATAATACAGCATTAGATCACGTGCTATGGTATGAACTAGCTCCAAGGCATCTGTACTTGTCTGCCCTCACCCAACCCACCCCCTGGTCCCCCACATCTTTAGATACCTGTACAAGTATTGACTGTCTGAAAGCTCAGCAAGCACTGCCCCCAGGACCATAGGACAGTGTTTGAGCCTCGTGTTGGTCGCTCAGGAGCAGAACATTGCATTATGGGGAGAGTCATGTGTAAAGTATGAGGTATTTCTCTGGGTCCTGAGGCACAGAGTCATGTAGAGCCTAAGGTCCTGTGTCGCTTGCTTCAAGCGGGATTTGTACTCCAATACAAGTCTATGGAAATGCAAATGCCGCTTGATGCCGGTTAACTGCAGGTCAAATGAACCTCTCAATGAATTCTGAATGAGCTCAGAAGAGTCTTTAACTGATACAATCAACACAAGCCCATCAACACAAGCCCTAAAGTGTACCTGCAACAATCATTAACATGTAAGAGAACCCTACTATCAAGAGGTATGGGCCAGTGCTAACCACACACCCCTTCACTGGAAGCATTCATTTCATAGCACAAAATGTAGCCTGTACACCAGGCATTTAAATGCCAACACTCTCCTCGGTGTCAGAGCCATCTTCTCCGCCATCTTAGTGAACCCCTATCTCTATTCGAGGCAAAACTCCTCAGCTCTGCCTACTCTGCCCTTCCACACGTCTTACAATACATGTGCTGCAGAGGTATACACACTCGTCCACTCCCCTGCCATGGCACATTCTCAGGAACAGAACCCAATGGCTGGTGATTGACAACCAATGTCTACCATACACACGCTACAGAACACCAAGGAGGACGATTACACAGGTTATGTCTGCCCTGAAGTCAGGTTCCCCCCATAACCCTGGAAGCAAAGTTCCACCACCTAGAACACATAACTAACCCCTGAAGTTTAGATTCCCCCATAATACATAACCCTAGAAGTTAGGTTCCCCAGCAAGGATACATAACTACAATACATAACTAACCCCTGAATTTAGGTGCCCTCCACCTAGGATACATAACTAAGCCCTGAAGTTAGGTTACCCCTACAATACATAACTCTGGAAGTTCGGCTCCACCCATAATACATAACACCGGATGTTAGTTATGTGTCATAGGTGGGGAACCCATCAGTGATGCCCTCCACCTATGATTCATAACTAGCCCCAGAAGTTAGGTTCTCCCCATAATACACAATCCTGGAAGTTTCCCATAACAACACAACCTCGGAAATTAGGTTCCAATCATAATACATAAGCCTGGAAGTTAGGTTACACCACCTATGATACATAACTAAGCCCTGAAGTTAGGTGTCCCCAGAATACATAACTACAGGGAAAAAAAGAACCCCCAACCTATGATAAATAACCTTTAAAGTTAGGATCCCCCACCAATCATGCATAACTATGTCCCACAATACATACCCTATGAAATTGAATGCATCCCACCTCCCCCAATAATACATAAAAGATGCCCACATATTACATATCCCCCAAGTTTAGGTCCCCACCACCAGAATACATGCCCCCTGAAGTTGTGTGCCCCCAGCAAG